TAATTAAAATGTGTTTTTTTTAAATTTTGTCTCCCACATGGAGCGGTGCATATATCAGCTTTCAATTAAAAGAAAGAAAGAAAAGAAAAGAAAAGAAAAGAAAAGAAAAGAAAAGAAGAGCCATTAAGCATAGGACAATCTAAAAGCATTTGGGAAGCTTCTCCAAGAGAAGAATGGACAAAACTAACCAAAAGCCTTTTGGGCGAAGGTATGGATCGTCGTTTTTTTTAAATTTAATATTTTTTTATATTTTCGGTTGATAATCTTTTTTTATTCTCTATAATTTTGTAAGTTTGTATTCTCATAAAATTTTAAAATTTCGTTCCTCTAACATAAAATCATATGGTCGTCTCTGAGTCAAAAAACAATAAATATAATGTCTCCTAAATAAAGTTTTAATTTTAAATTCTACAAATTTAATATGATTTATCAATATGAAAAAGAAAGAAAAGACCCATATACATATTTATAAACAGGGACGGATCGAATGAGTGTTAGGAATTGGTCATACCTCTAAAATTTTATCGATGATCTAATTATACATCGATTAAAATTTTATAATTTGATCCTCTTAAAATTTTATTTTCTCTTCATCATTGTTCACAATAGAAATCATAGAAACAGTAGTAAAAATTTAGGATTGGTAGAATTTTGGAGGGACTAAAAAATAATTGCACCATTTAACCACCCAAAATAGAAAGCCCAAGTGCCTAATTGATTTAACATTGATGATTTCCTTTTTTTTAATTTTTATACCATACATAGTAATAAATAGCATAAATTTTCAATTATTTAATATTTTGGGGAAAAGTGGGCTAATTAACTTCATTTACCATAAGGGGTTAAATCTAAATCAATTGGATTCATAAAGGAAAAGATGCCTTTTAGTACATTAAAAAATCATTGAATTATAAATTAGTATAATAAAAAATTATAATTTAACCCCCTACATATTTATAAGTTCATTTTTACTATATATATAAAGGAATCTCTTGCCATAAAATATTCATAATTTGCGTGTTGAAGGACTCGATATCACATTATAATAACTTCTGAGGTTATTGTTGGAATATTTAGTAAGTTAAGTGTTATTGTCATTCTTGTAAGGCAATAATATCTAAAGTATAACTTGATTTAGGTTGATGATATGACCTTAAAAGAGAAAAGAATTCAAATCCAATTAATACTTTTTTGGGTAAAGTACATAAATAGTCTCACGACTATAAGATATTATTTTGTTAAGTCTCCAACTATTAAAAGTTACAAATAAATCCCTTAACTATGGGGAGTTATTTTGTCGAGTCACTCAACTATTCATTTTATTTCAAACTCGTCTTTTTTTTGTTAAAAAATTAACGGTCTTTTGAGCTAGATGTTAATACAATGATTAAGATATAATAGTCATTTTAGATTATGAGATCAAATTTTATCATAATTTTTTAGCTGAAAGTAATAGTCAAGTGACTCAACAAAGTAACTCCCTATAGTTAGGAGATCATTTTATAACCTTTAATAGTTAAGAGACTCAATAAAAATAATATCATATAGTCAAGGGACCATTTTTGTACTTTACTCTTTTTTTAAATGTCTCTCAAGTAAATTTGTCCAATGATTGAATTTTGGATATTCTTTTCTTTTAAACTTGAGTAGATTGAATTATTATAGTTATACATTTTTTAATAATTTATGTTTTCCAGAAAGTAATAAAATGGAGAAATTATTGAATGGTCCTAATAATTTAGGATAATTTATTACTCCTCAGTAATTTGAATTTGAGTAACTATATTTACTAATGGCAAAACTTTCGAGATAATGTTCTGAAAGAAATTAATTCACGAGCTAATGCACTCCCAAAATTAATTGTTCAAATAGGGTGAAATCCACAGTGTTGGCTGTAGGTCGCCATGCCTTCCGGACGACCTATTAGGTCGCCATGTCTTCCCGGCGACCTACAAGAGATTGCATGTTCCATGCACGTCCCAACACGCTGGGCATCCGAGGCCATCCGAAAGCATCCGAGGCCATCCGAGAGCATCCGAGGCCATCCGAACGAGCTATGTGAGGGCAACCGAGCGAGCTATGCGAGGGAATCCGAGGGCAACCGAGCGAGGGTAGGTCGCCCGAAGTGCATGGCGACCTTGTAGGTTGTAGGTCGCCATGCACTCCGGGCGACCTACCCTCGCTCGGTTGCCCTCGCATAGCTCGCTCAGTTGCCCTCGCATATCTCGTTCGGATGGCATCGGTAGGATGGCCTCAGATGCTCTCGGTCGGATGGCCTCGGATGCTAGCGTGTTGGGACGTGCATGACACATGCAATCTCTTGTAGCTCGCCGGGAAGACATGGTGACCTACGACTAACACTGTGAATTTCACCTTATTTGAGCAATTAATCTTGGGAATGCTTTATCTCTTGAATTAATTTTTTCCAGAACATTATCTCGAAAGTTTTATCATTTACTAATAAAATTCGGATAATTTAGGGTGTAAAAAAAACTTCCAAACCCAAATTAGGGACTTAAATCCATGCTTGAAAATAATATATATTTTGTAAGTATATTCATAAATTTCAAATCTACAAATTTAAGAAAGAATCATAAATGTTAGATTTATCTAAGAAACATGTCAAAATCAAACCAGTTGCCATCTTCTCTTTGAAGCAAAAGTAAAAAGAATTGAGCACAGCACGCAACAAACAGAAAAGCAAAGATATTTTTTTAATTCAACATCTAAAAGTAGTCTGAGAAATTCAACATCTAAAAGTAGTCTGAGAGGATAGCGACAGTACTCACAGATGGTTGACAATTAAGTAGGGTCCCCCAGGCACAAGGGTAGTGACCCTTTATGAGCTTAGACAAACTCTGAAGGGTCCCCTAAACAAGGGATTATTAGACTGTCAGTACCCCTTCTATTGGACAGTCACCTCAAGCTTTTTTTTTGGGTTTAAGATAAGATATGTGGTTTAGTGGTTCAGATCACGTGTTGGACCCATGACCATGAACCATGCTAAGCCAAAGCTAGGAAGCTAGCTTGGTTACTGGTATTAATTAATCCTCAAGTAATTCCACTACCAAACATTTCCTCGTGTTAATGTCTAAACTATTTGGAAGATATCCAGCTGGGCAGTTTTACAATGCAGGACTTTAATATAAGTTTAAAATAAAGTATTATTGATTTTATTATTGTTTAAATAATAAAATCGATAAAAATTATTGATAATATTATTATTTATATTTAAAATATTATTTTTTTAATATTTTTTTAATTATTTTTTAGTATCTAATAATACTTTCGATCGTTTTTATGTCTAATAATATTTTTGATCATTTTTTTATTAATTTTATTATTTAAATAATAACAAAAGTAATAACTTATTATTTTAACTTTATATTAAAGCGGACGTAAGCGTTTCCCTATCCAGCTTTCAGATTGATTTAGACAGGGTTTGGGGTATGCATAAACCCGGAATTTAAGAACTAAAATTGTTGAAATTTACTGTGCATACACTGACAATGAGAAAATTTGAAGCTTGATGCCTTCATATTACCTAATTTCACTGCAGCCAATGCAAATATCATGCTAAAGATTGTATTCAACCACCCTCATTGACTCAACTGCTTTGGATGTATTCAAGTATATATTCAACTATACACACACATATATATATATATATATATATATATATATATATATACATATATATATATATATACCAAAGAAGCTTGATTGGCAGAGGGGACCTTTCGAAGATCTCAAAACTTGGTCATTTAAATGCTGCAACTGACATGGGAATGGAGGCCAACATTGTTGGTGAAATAAAAAGAAGAATCCCAACAAAGATTCAATTTCTTTTTTCACTTTAACATGCTATTCAAAGACAGCGGATTTCACTTTTGTCCCCATCTTCTCACAACACATGATATAAGCTTCAACATACACTGTAACAAATTCCAAGCATCTTTTTTTGGCTTGTACAGCAAATATCTCTATGCCTTTCTGTTCCACTAAGCCTTAAAAGCGGGAACATGGAGAGTGAGCAAGAGATGAACAACTAACAGATTTTGTTACATTCAATAGTATGATCAAACCTATGGTTTTCTTCGTTTTGCCACAAAGTGTACCTCCAAGGAGCCCTATACGAGGCCGATGGCATGCCCTGTCTTTGGATTGGGGTACCCTCTCCCCCACGACCCTAAAAAGATAGTAAAATCTAGGTCAGACTTCATGCTGTATTCTATGGTCCTATTTTGCAGTTGTGGCATTTTGATGTTCCATGAATAAACAACCCAATGGGCTTTACCTGAAGATTTCATCTTGCAATATTTCTTCTCTGCTGTCCATGCTTAGGTGCTTTCTTATTAGGGTTGATGGAACAAATGAGTTACGTCGGTTGTTAACGATGATTGATCATTGTTTGTGTCATCGTCTATATAAAGAGGAAAATAAGGGATAAGTTAACAAGTGGTTCCAGATCCTTCCTTCGATTCTTTTCGAGAGATTTTATTGTGATCCTTAATGTTGGTGTCAGACGAAAGACAATGATGACTACTCGTAAATTGACAGAGTGAATAGACCTGACTATCAATAGATCACATGTGCCTGTCGATAGTCACATTATGAGGTCATGGTTGACCGAAGGAAGTAGAACTTTGGAGATTTCGAAAAATTCCGGAAGATACAAAACTTTCAATTACAATCAGTAATCAGTGAAGTTCTGTCTGTATTCATCAGTGAAACAGTTGATGCAAAAACCAAGGAGGGTTCACATGATTTGCTGGGTTTGTTGCCATGGACGTATGAAAGAGAGAGGCTTGTAGATATTGAGCATACAAATGAAGTGTATATTGTTCTCATTAGTCCGGCCTTGGTCCTACTTGAGCTTTTGATTCTTTCAAGCTCCAGCTATTAACGTTGGCAATCAAATTTCACATGCGAAAACACTATTGCAGACAGTTACATATGCCAATAGTGATTCAATAATAATAACTTTCAACTTCAGTAAAATGTTTGATTCTCATGGTTTCACTGAATTCTATGCAGCCATAGCAGTATCTGGTTTGGCGCTTTTGGTGTGCCATGTTTAATCCCGTGTGCTTCAAGATAGCCAATGCTTCCATTTCAGATTCCTTTGAAGGAAACTTCAGTTAAGAGCAGTGGTTTATCTGGTCGGACCATTTTGGCTTAATTTTTCCTACAAATGGGTTCAAACTACAATTTGATTGGTGGTGATATGAAATGAGTTTGGGATATATGGGTGGTCCAAAGTTGTTTAAGGACATGAATGACACAATTTTCCAAAATACAGGTCGAATATTAGCAAAATGATATGGATATAAGGAGTAAACCGATGTGAAATGGTGCCAGAAAACATCCACAAATGAAAATGACAATTCATCATAAGATTACAAGAGAATGGACGAATGAAGTAAATAAACACACTTATTTTATACCAAGGGGATCAGATGAGATGAGATGAGATGAGATGACAGAGAGCTGATTTTTGGCCACACATGCATAGTGGTTTCCATTCTAATATAGGTCGAGGCCATCAACATAGCACCACCGACATCCTTCCCTTGAACTCGATGTTATAATCGTCGTATCCATCGCCTTGATTCTCTCCGTCTTTCTAGTTATAGTAATGCTTCGTCGGCTTAAATCCGTCAGCAAAAGCTGCAGCTGCAAAGAAAGTCGTGGTGGCATCCACAACACCAGCTGCAGGTTCGTTCCTACACATACTACCATAGATTTCAACTCTAGTCCAGGTAAGTACACTTTTTCGGAACTTGTGTAATGCGTAATTTGGAACACCAACATTAACAGATGTGAAATGGAGCAGATGGGAAGCCAAATTGTCTATACGGCGGGAGTATGCCTAAACCGGCTATAAGTAGATACAGAGGGGTACAAGTTTTCACTTACAAGGAGCTCGAATTGGCCACCGATAACTTCAGCGAAGCAAATGTTACCAGGAAAGGAGGGTCGAGTGTGGTGTATAAAGGGGTCCTTGTTGATGGTACCGTGGTGGCCATTAAGAGGCTTCACCGTGATCGAAAGCGAGGGGAGCGTGCTTTCAGGATGGAGGTGGATCTGCTAAGCCGGTTGAAGTCTCCTTATTTGGTGGAGCTATTAGGATATTGTGCAGACCAGCACCATAGGCTTCTGATATTTGAATTCATGCCCAATGGTACTCTGCAACAGCATCTTCATCATCCCGGCAGTGAATATAGGCCGTTGGATTGGGGAAGCCGGTTAAGGATAGCCCTTGATTGTGCTAGAGCCCTCGAGTTCCTCCATGAGCATGCTACCCCTACTGTTATCCACCGTGACTTCAAGTGCACCAATGTATTACTGGGCCAACACCTCCGTGCCAAGGTGTCCGATTTCGGATTGGCCAAAATTGGGTCGGATAAGATCAACGGTCAGATTTCGGCACGCGTTCCGTGGTCCACGGGATATATAGCTCCAGAGTGAGTCCCTCATCATGCACAAGCATAACTATTTCATCATCAGAATTCTAACTGCCATACTAATGAATCAGAATTCTGGCAATGCAGATATGCATCAACAGGCAAACTCACCACGAAATCAGATGTCTACAGCTACGGTGTGGTGCTTTTACAGCTTTTAACCGGTCGAGTGCCGGTGGATATCAAGAGGCCTCCCGGAGAACATGTCCTTGTTTCATGGGTTAGTTGCCAAATCCCATAAACCATATTCCTTGAGCCCTCTAAGAAAATTGTTCAACCAATGCTCCAACTTTTCATATTTTGACAGGCACTTCCAAGGCTAACAAACAGAGACAAAGTAGAAGAAATGGTTGATCCAGCCATACAAGGACAATATTCCAAGAAGGATCTAATTCAGGTGGCTGCTATTGCCGCGATGTGTGTGCAACCGGAAGCCGATTATCGACCTTTGATGGTTGACGTTGTACAATCACTGATCCCTTTAGTTAAAAACATCAATTCCGTAAATTCCCCCGGTTTCTCTAGATTCAATCGTCGAACCACCGGTCCAAAGTATTAGTAATATCTATGGAAATTGCAGAGCTACATAACTCTGGTTGCATGAAAATGAAAAATAAAGGTTCATTAGACATAGGCAAGCCTGTTTACATTTATATTGTTGTAAGAGGGATTAATAAAGGCAATATTATTTTAATATGGTGCATGGTGCATGGTGCAAGGAGAATGGTGCTTAGTTCAGTTGATCGACATTCTGTATGTTCGAAATTCGAATCTTCGAAGCAACAAACCATGGCGATCGCAGAAGATAGAGAAATCTTTAAACTGGGAATCAAGAAGTGTCACAGAAGACTCATAGGGAAGAGACAAAAGTAGAGGTTAGTGGAGCAATGGCGATTGCAGAAGATAGAGACCTGCAATTTCGTTTAATCAAAGTGGTTTGCTGTTCGAAAACAACAAGACCTTCGGCAGCAAAAAAGGACAGTGGAACAAAACACAGAGTGTTTCGGTATAAAAGACAACAAAGTGTCCATTAGAGCAAACACCATCCATGAGGATAGTGACTAAAGCTGTAGAATGGGTTCTTATTGCTCCACTATTTTCACTTTTTATCTGTAATTTCGGACATGGTACCAGGAGGAAGCTTCATAAATTGTTGAAGAAGGAAAGTTTTCAGTTTTTGTGTCGTAAAAAAAACAGTTTGGTACCGCTGATTTTTGTGTAGTAAAATAAAGATCTTAAAATTTTAATATTTTTTCAATAAAATGGATATACAATTTTCAATTTTTTATATTAAATAATAATAAAATAATTTAAAGTGATCAAAACATAAATAATTAGATAATTCAGTAAGTAAATTAAAAGAAAATTTGAAAGCACAATAAATAAAATAGAAGATAAAAATAAAATAGAAGAAAAAAGAGAATATAATTAAATGAGAAATGATGTATTTTATCCATAGAATAAATAAACAGATTTTTTGATTTATTTGAAATTTGACATACTTGACTCTATATAAATAAATTATAAAATTAATCTTAATATTATTTGTGAAATTCGATGAAATCTTTAATATGTAGAGATAAATGCTAGTACTTGTACCTAAGACTAGCAGCAGTCTAATCCAAAGCATGACTAATCGTAGAAGACAAAATCGGTTATTTATTAACTGTGACTTAAAAATTATACATCATCTACCCAAGTTCGATATGACCTGACTTTTTGTGATAAAAATTGAACCCGACTCAACTCGAGTTGAAATAATATATTTATTAAAAATATTATTTTTATTTAATAAAAATATTATTTTTATTTAATAAAAATAGAGATTTAATTAAAAATAATCATATATATAATGCATTATTACAATTATCCTTAAATATAAAGGTAAAATTGAATGTTTTTCTAGGGTCAGATATTTTTTTACTCTAAACCTGAACCTGTCCCGAACCGAACACAATCTCTAAAAAATTAACCCGACAAGACCCCTATTTTTTTTTTAAAAAATCCGACCTTATCAAGTTTGGTTGAGTCGAGACCTGTCGAATCTGGATCTCATGCCCATCCCTATTTACTAGTAATATAAAATTCTATTTTAATTAAACCACGTGAACAACTACCTGATTTCAAATTTTACCTATTCAACAAGAGACCTGTGACCGATAATCAGTTAATTTAGTGGGATGAGACATTAAATTTCTTAAAAAATATCAGAGGTTTGAATTCTGACAATTGCGCACAGAGCAAATTGGATTGAGTCGTCCCCATAACGGACTTCTGTAAAATCATATTTAAATTAATTAATCAATAAATTAAATAACAGTTGTTAATTAAAAAAGCAAGAGACATTTTGTACTTAGACTTGAATACTCAACAAGATAACATCCTATAATTGAAAGACCATTTTATAATTTTTAAAAGTTAAGTATTCAATAAAATATCACCCAATATTTAGATCGACTATTTGTGTACTTTACCCTAAATCAACGGAGATATGCTCCTTTATATTCATATATTTTAGAAATGAGATGTTCAAAACAAGAAACTTGATGAAGGATAAGACATTTCCGTTGGCAATGATATTCGTAAGTGCTACATCCCCAATTACCCCGTGGAATAATCCATATTAAAGTAATAAAAGTCAAGAGTATGCCGTGTTAGAATTGAGTTCAAAATGGTTAGAAGAGTCAGCAAGGAGTTTCTCTGGCTTAAAATGATGCATTTATTTATATTTTTAGTAATTATAAAATAATATTTATTTAAAATATTTTTTAACTATTCATGACGTTCACACTTTAGCATATATAATTATTTAAATTTAAAACTTTTTAAAAAAATAATATTTTTTAACTGTCGAAGTTATTTGATGAGTGTTATTTACATGAAATAAAGATAAGTTGATGATGAACTGTCCGTTTAGCTCAGTTGGTAGAGTACAAAGCTCTTATTTTTAGGACCGTGAGATCGAATCTCATGGTGGGCAATTCATAATTCTGATTGTCGGAGGTCTTCTACAGAAGCTATTTTCAATCCAGTGTTGGAAGCAGCCTACTATGACTTTGATGGGATGACATAGTATTTCCATGGAGTGATTGACGGGACATTTAGAATTTAGGTGCCTATAAAATGCACTGGAGCTTAAGCCTCAACCCATTGCTCATTTATCCCAATTTCTCCATGGCTAACTACGGTTTTACGGCTTCAGCAATGCTGCTCTTTGGCCTGCTAGTGGCTTCCTTCCTTCCCACAAGTAATCTCTCTCTCTCTCTCTCTCTCTCTCTCTCTCTTCTAATATGTATTAGTTAAATAAAATACGGATAAACTATGTGAATAGTCCCTTTTATTTAGGGTATGTCCAACTTCGATCATCAATTTAAAAATTAAGAATAAATAGTCTCTAACATTATCGGCCCGTCTAGTTTAAGTTCTTCCACTCTTAATCCATAACGAATATATGACATAACTGAGAGGCTAAAATAAAATGAATCGATAACGTTAAATAAACTATGTGAATAGTCCCTTTATTTAGGGTATGTCCAACTTCGATCATCAATTTAAAAATTAAGAATAAATAGTCTCTAACATTATCGGCCCGTCTAGTTTAAGTTCTTCCACTCTTAATCCATAACGAATATATGACATAACTGAGAGGCTAAAATAAAATGAATCGATAACGTTAAGAAATATGTACCTTTAATTTTTAAATTAGTGACCAGAATAGATCAAATCAAAAAAAAATCACATAATTTACTTGTAAAATATTAATATTTGAATCACCAATAGTGTATAGTTTTATGTATCATCAATAAATCAAGTCAATGGTGGACATAAGTATATTTACTCACTTTTAAATTTGATTTTTTAATATTAGTTATCTATTTAAATAATTGTCTTTTTGAAATTTAATTTATATCTATTTGTATACAAAAATTTTATGTTTTTAATATACATGTCATTTATAAAAATAGAGTAAACTATTTATTATTTGTTTCTATTTATGTTATTCAACTATTATTTTAGAAAAAATATAACTAACGTTATGTTTTTGTTTTATTTCAATCACCAATCGTTAAAATATTAATAATAATTCTAATATATCTCCGTAAGTTAATTTCACGTTTTCGAAATAACTAGAAAAAGTATATTATATTTCAACGTAGGTGGTCAAGTAGGTGTTTGCTATGGTATGCTGGGCAACAACTTACCGACAAAGGCCGACGTTGTGTCTCTCTTCAACCAGAGAAACATAAGGAGAATGCGACTCTATGATCCCAACCAAGATGCTCTCCGTGCTCTCAGAGGCTCCGCCATTGAGGTAATGTTAGGCGTTCCCAACGACAATCTTCAGCGAATCGCCGGCAGCCAAGCCGAAGCCAACACCTGGGTCCAGAACAACGTCAGGAACTACGCCAACGTCAACTTCCGCTACATCGCCGTCGGAAACGAAGTCCAACCTTCTGATCCCGCCGCACGATCACTACTCCCCGCGATGCAAAACATTCACAACGCCATCGTCTCCGCCGGACTCGGCAACCGAATCAAAGTTTCCACCGCCATCGACACCATCACACTCTCGGAGTCTTCCCCTCCGTCGAGAGGGTCTTTCAGGCCCGCATCAAGAGCAATTCTCGACCCCATCATTCGTTTCCTGGTGAACAACCGAGCTCCGTTGCTCGTCAACTTGTACCCGTACTTCAGCTACGATGACAACCCCGTCATTAGTTTAGATTACGCTCTCTTCAGATCACAAAGCCCCGTCGTCTCGGATCCTCCGTTGCAGTACCGTAACCTTTTCGACGCCATACTGGACGCTGTTTACGCCGCCCTGGAAAAAGCCGGTGGCGGTTCTTTGTCGATAGTTGTATCGGAAAGCGGATGGCCTACGGCGGGAGGTAGGAAAAGGGGAGCCACGAATATCGATAATGCAAGAACTTATAATCAGAACTTGATCCAGCATGTGAGAAATGGAACACCGAAGAAGCCTGGAAGGCCTATAGAAACTTATATTTTCGCCATGTTTGATGAGAATAACAAACGGGGGGAGGAGATCGAAAGGCACTGGGGACTTTATCTTCCCAATCGGCAGCCAAAATACCCAATCAACTTCAACTAAACAGCTGCTGAAAATCATTAGATGAAGGTATTTGGATAATAAGAGCGTTTCGTTTCTCCCTGTTGACGGAGGCTAAAGAACGCATATGTCTGTCACGTAATAATATTCGAAATAAAATGATGAAAATTAGTCGTAGAAGAATATGAAGTCTTCTTGGAAGTCATTGTTGAAAGTTGTCTTCAAATTAGCTCTGAAGTGAATGGTTAAAAGACTCGGCTTTTATGCCGACAATATCAACTTGAAACTTAACCAAGACTTTTGAGGATAAACTACACAAATGATCATTAATATTTAAATAAGTTTTATTTTTCTCACTGAAGTTTTAAAACTAATGATTTAATCACTAATGTTATCAATTTATAACAAATCGGTAACTCGAACGATGAGCACCGTTAATTTAAATTATAAAAATAATTCTAAATTACTCAACATATAATTATAAATTACTTAAAAATCTAAAGGTAAATTATTTAGAATAAAATATTAATTACATTATTTTCCATAATATTTTTGGGCTTAAATGCACCATTGCCCCTAAAAGCATACCATTTGTACCGAGTTATCCCCTAAAGTAATTTTTAGGATGTTTTACCCCTAAAATTTAAATCGTTGTCTCATTTTCCCCAAACCATAAACTCCGCTAAAAACAATAAGGGTAAATTATATATTAGTCACTCAACTATTTCAGTGGTTCTATTTTGGTCACCAAAATATTTATTTTTTTACAATCATCACTAAACTTAAGTTTTGTATTATGTTTTTGTCTCCTAATTCGATTCAATCTACTTTTTAGATTTATAATAAGTAAGATTTCATTTATATAAGGATAAATATATAAGAATTCATTTTTATATTTTCAAAACATTAAGTATAATAATATTAGAAAGCTTATTTTCTTTTGTTTTTTTCTCCTTCCAAATTGTTCATTGCAGTTCCTAGGAGAGCATTTGGTGGTGGAATGCTTTGAACAAGACTTTGTGAACTGGTGAAGAAGAAGAAGAAGCATAGTTTTCAACACCAAGCTTAGAAGAGGGAATGCCATTTCTTCAAATGTTTCAGAGTGTAGAATCCCCTAAGCATTTTGCTTTTAGAGAACCAAATTTCCAGACCCTTTTGAGCCTGCAACACTTGAAGAAGCCTTGGGAGGTAAACAACAATCCTTTCGTTAATTTCGAAAATGGAAACCCAAATTCAAGCCATGGAACTAGAAAAACGCGTCACCCATGAAATACTACTAGAGTTGCATTTTTAACTTTCAAATTCGAGACCAAAGACATTAAGACAAGCCTTCGAGTTCATTGTTTTGAACTTCTCAACTCCAGGTCGAACCAAGACCAGCCAAACTCAGTAACAACATACAACTTGTTGAAAGTAAACAAAGGGCGGCTGGAAAATTTGGCAGAGCAGCCGGCTGCTAAATTAAAATTTTAGGCAGCCAACTTTTGTGGAAAAAATTAAAAAATATAATTACAATTTAGTCATTGTAATTTAGAGTATTTTTAAGATTAATCCTTAAAGCTTTAACTATAAATACCCTAGCTCATTTAGCTTCAAAACCATCCCAAAGCATTCTAGCTTTTTTCCAATACTAGAGAGAATTTAGAGAGTTTCTTGAGAGTTGTTTTCTCCTTTTTATCAAGAGAGAATTATCATTGTTTTCTCCTTGGTCGATCGCGAGAAGTTGTAATTCCTATTTTCTCATAGTGAAATTCTTCTACCGTTACCTGTGGTTTTTACCCTATATTATTCAGGGGTTTTCCATGTAGATTTTGTGTCTCTTTTATCTTCATTTTTATTTTCTCAAATTATCAGTTGCGATTTTGCTCTATCCGATAGATATCTTCCGCAACAATTGGTATCAGAGCCAGATTTGAGTGTGTAATATCTACTTATTGTCTTTGTGGTTGCCACCAAAAGGTGGATCCTCCAACATAAGAAAGTAAGAAGGTATTACTCATTCTTTGATGGTTATAGAGAACTATTCACGATAGTGAAATAGTGGGACAAAACCTTGTTAGAAAGAACAAGAGCAATGTTGAGGGATGCAGGCCTAGAAAAATCATTCTGGGCAGAAGCAGTCAATACCGCCTGTTATTTAGTGAATCGAGCTCCATCAACTGCAATAGAGCTGAAGACACCAATGGAGATGTGGACTGGTAAACCAGCTGATTATTCAAGCCTCCATTTATTTGAAAGTATTGTGTACGTGGTGTACAACTCCCAAGAAATCTCAAAGTTGGATCCAAAATCCAGGAAATGTAAATTCTTGGGGTATGTTGATGGTGTAAAGGGGTATCGCTTGTGGGATCCCACTGCCCGCAAAGTGATCATTAGCAGGGATGTTATCTTTGTAGAAGATAAACTACAAAGAAAAGAAGATGATGATAGAGCATAAAAGTCAGAGACTACACAGATACATGTGGAAAATGAGGATGAACAAGGAGATTCTTATGAAGCAGAATCAGCACATGATGAACAAGAACCAGAGAGTTCTGAAGTTCCAACAACTCGTCAATCAGATCGTGTGAGAAGACATCCCAATTGGCACTCAGATTATGTTATAGAAGGTAATATTGTATACTGCCTTTTAACAGAGGAAGGTGAGCCATCAACATATCTGGAGGCAATAAACAGCTCATATGCTTCACTGTGGATGATGGCGATGCAAGAAGAAATTGAAGCCCTTTATAAAAATAATGCATGGGACCTTGTTCCACTACCACAAGGAAGGAAGCCAATTGGTAACAAATGGGTCTTCAAAATCAAGCGAAATGGTGACGATAAAGTTGAGAGGTATCGTGCTAGACTAGTGGTCAAAGGATATGCTCAAAAAGAAGGTATTGATTTCAATTAAATATTTTCTCCTGTGGTTCGACTAACAAAAGTTCGAGTAGTTTTGGCAATGTGTGCTACATTGAACTTACATCTAGAGCAGCTAGATGTTAAAACAGCTTTTCTTCATGGAAATCTTGAAGAAGAAATTTATATGCTCCAGCCTGAAGGTTTTGAAGAAAAGAAAATAAGAACTTGGTTTGCAGGTTGAACAAATCTCTATACGGTCTAAAGCAGGCGCCGAGGTGTTGGTATAAGAGATTTAATTCCTTCATTATGTGCCTTGGATACAACAGACTTAATGCATACCCTTGTGTTTATTTCAAGAGGTCTGATGATAACAATTTTGTTATATTGTTGTTGTATGTGGATGACATGTTGGTTGCAGGACCCAACAAAGATCATATTGAAGAATTGAAGGCACAACTGGCTAGGAAATTTGAAATCAAAGACTTGGGATCGGCAAACAAGATTCTAGGGATGTACATTCATCGAGACAGAAGTAATAAGAAGATTTGGCTTTCACAAAAGAATTACTTGAAGAAAATCTTGTCACGATTCAGCATGTAAGATTGTAAGCCAATTTCTACCCCTCTTCCTATTAACTTCAAATTATCCTCCAGTATGAATCCTAGCAGTAAAGAAGAGAGGATGGAGATGTCTCGAGTACCGTATGCATCAGCAGTGGGAAGTTTGATGTTCGCTATGATATGCACAAGACCAGACATTGCACAAGCAGTGGGAGTGGTTAGTCGGTACATGGAGAATCCAGGCAAAGAGCATTGGAATACAGTAAAGATGATCCTGAGATACATCAAAGGGACCTTAAATGTTGCATTATGTTACGGAGGATCAAACTTACTAATAAATGGGTATGTAGATTCTGACTATGCAGGGGATTTGGATAAAAGCAAATATACTACAGGATATGTGTTCAAAGTTTCTGGTGGAGCTGTAAGCTGGGTTTCAAAATTGCAGTCAATTGTGGCTACATCCACAACAGAAACAGAATATGTAGCAGCTACACAAGCCAGTAAAGAAGCAATTTGGTTGAAGATGTTATTGGAGGAGCTTGGGCACAATCAAGAGTATGTCTCTCTATTTTGTGACAGTCAAAGCGCCTTGCATCTAGCAAGGAATCCAACATTTCATTCAAGGACAAAGCACATATGAGTTCAATACCATTTCATTCGTGAAAAGGTGGAAGAAGGAACGGTAGATATGCAGAAGATCCATACCAAAGACAACATAGCAGATTTCATGACGAAAGCGGTAAATACTGATAAACTTACTTGGTGTCGATCCTCTTGTGGCCTGACATAAATAAAAGCAACATAAAGGTATAAGGTAGAAAGAATGATGTGAAGATATGATTGTTCCAATCAAATCTTCAAGTGGGAGATTGTTGAAAGTAAACAAAGGGCGGCTGGAAAATTTGGCAGAGAGCCCAGCTGCTAAATTAAAAATTTAGGTAGCCAAGTTTTGTGGAAAAAAATAAAAATATAATTACAATTTAGTCATTATAATTTATGGTATTTTCAAGATTAGTCCTTAAAGCTTCAACTATAAATACCCTATCTCATTTAGCTTCAAAACCATCCCAAAGCATTCTAGCTTTCTTCCAATACTAGAGAGAATTTAGAGAGTTTCTTGAGAGTTGTTTTCTCCTTTTTATCAAGAGAGAATTATCATTTTTTTCTCCTTGGTCGATCGAGAGAAGTTGTAATTCCTATTTTCTTATAGTGAAATTCTTCTACCGTTGCCCGTGGTTTTTACCCTATATTATTCAGGGGTTTTCCACGTAAATTTTGTGTCTCTTTTATCTTCATTTTTATTTTCTCAAATTATTAGTTGCGATTTTGCTCTATCCGATAGCCGTCTTCCGCAACACAACTGTGGTAGACGAGACAACAACTTGGGATTGTCCTCGTCTTTGAAAAACTTTATAAAATCCCCTCATGTCATTAGAGAACGACAAAAGTGAAAATGAACGGAGGCAACCAAGAACAAAGAAGAAGTCGAGAGCCAACGCATGACCCACATTACCGTCGAACGCAATCGTAAACATCAAATTGACGATTATCTAAATTCCCTCCACTCTCTTACATATTATATCCAAAGAGAATATTATTCTAACCTTGAACTATATTTTAGTTCCTATGTTAATACTTTGTTCAACGAAAATCATGTTTTGGCTTTGTTTTACAGGGTGACCATGCGTCAATTATAGGGGGGTGCAATTGACTTTGTTAAGGAGTTTGAGCAACTTTTTCAATCCCTAAAACTAAAAGCACATAAGAGAATAAGAGGTTATGAAGAAAACAACAATATGGTGATAATTCCATGTCAAAGTCCGCCATGGAATCTAAAGATAAAAACCATGGAGATGAAATAAAAGCAATAAGCAAATCAGGTGCATCTGAAGATGATGTTAATATAATATACAATCATGTCAACTTAAAATTCAGTGTTCAAGAAGAGTTGGTCAGTTGGTGCAAGCCATTGTCACCATGGAAAGTCTTAGATTAAAAGTTTTGCACCTCAAAGTTACCACTTCCCAAGCATTTGATCTTTAGTCGTTCAAGGTACTATTCATTTAGAAAAATTGTTTTGTTTTGGCTCCAATCGTAGTTCCAAAATTTCTTAAAATTTATCTCCTTTTCTTTATGGCTTTATTTTGTTATTTTATTGAGTTGCGTTGGAAATGATAATGGCAGATGGAGGATGACTTCGAGCTAGATCAACGAATGAGATAGTAGTAGTAGTTCATCAAATATTCAACTAATTCAAAGTTACAATTTAGAGATAAATGTTTTATATGTTAAAAGATAAAAAGGATTTTTTTATATATTAGTTTACCCTTATATAAATGAACTCTTACATATTATAAATTTAAAAAGTAGATCGAATCGAATTAGGTGACCAAAATGAAATAAAAACTTAAGTTTAGTGATGATTTAAAAAAATAAATAATTCGGTGACCAAAATAGAACCGCTAAAATAGTTGAGTGACTAAATATATAATTTATCATTGTTTATTTTAACAGAGTTAACAGTTTGGGGCAACGAGGTAACGATCTAAACTGTATGGGACAAAACGTCCTGAAAAATATTTTATGGTGCAACTCGGTACAAATGGAATACTTTAGGGGGCAATTGTGCATTTAAGCTTTTTTTGTGCTTAAAACATCATCGACCCTTAAAGTATGCTATTTGTACCGAGTTGCATCCTAAAAATATTTTTCGGAGCATTTTACCACCTGAGTTACGAAACTTACACACTTACCTCACTACTTTTCTCTTTTCTACTTCTAAACTCTCTTTCTTTAACTCACACTTTTAATACTCTTTTTCTCTTTTCACGCTTACTACAATAGTAAAACTAACTCATATTTATAAATTCTAATGGCCATTGGATTATTGACACATGTCAATATCTTAATCAAATATCTAGATTATTCTAATATATAATTCTAGATATAATATTAAATATTACAAATATTTAGATTATTTTATAGATACTTCTACATATCTATTATTTCCATACTATTTTAGAATATTTCTAATATAGTAAAAATTCTAGAACGTACGTCGTACATCGAAACACATCACTAATGTGACACACCGATGCACACCACTGATTAAATTGTCCTTACTAAATAAATATGAAAGAATATAATGACTTATCCACAATTAATCTTTTATTTTAATAGGATATTATTAAATTATATTTTTCTATTAAAAATTATAATTAATTTAGGAATTTTTTCTATTGAAACACTTAATCTATATAAGTTTGCAGATGCATCCCACTAATTATAAAAAATCATCCATTGACGACCATGACTAACATGATATATTTTCTCTAAGAAGAACAAAATTTTCTTTAATCACTGAGTTCATTTAATGGATTCCAATAATCATATTTTTTAACGGATTAAATTGAACATTCAACTAACATGATATATTTTCTCTAGGAAGAACAAAATTTTCTTTTATTCATTTAATGGATTCCAATAATCATAATTTTTAATTTGTGAATTAAAAATAGATTTTATATTTTCTCGTTTTCCTTAGTCAAACCTACTTGGAAGTATTCGTACTTGTATAAGTGAAAGTCCTTGGTTCAAACGTCATCAATGGCTTGGTCGGCTACAAGACAGAACCCAGTGCCTGCTGATAGAGGATCAAACAATCTAAAGTCTAACCCTCGAGGTTCATGATTTAGATTTGCTGCAAGTTGTAGAATACAATTAAGAATTAAATGCTGTTTCTTTTCACGTCTTAAATCACATGAAAAACCCTACTAGCTAATTGTTGCTCATTAAATGCTGTTTCTTTTCACGTCTTAAATCACATGAAAATCCCTACTAGCTAATTATGGCTGAGCAACTAAACTAAAAAAATCAAAAAATCGATACGAATTGAGTAAACGGTTCGGTTCAGTTCAGATTTATTTTATATAGTTTGATTTCGGGTTGGTTTAAACATTTAAATTTTTTAATTTGGTTCGGTTTGAATTTTTCATATGAAACACATTTGTTTCATATTGAACTGAACAAACAATTTGGGTCAGTCCAGCCGGTTATCCACTTATCCTTACTCATAAGAGGTAAGCCCAAATGCCTAATTAAAGTAAATACAAAAAACCTTAAATCTAATAATATTTTCGATTTATGAAAAACCGCATTACCGAACCAAAAAATCAGTTTTACATATTTCGGTTTTTTAACCATTCAGTTTCGGTTTAAATTTTAAAAAACCGTTTATTGCGGTTCGTTTCAATTTTTAGTAAAAAACCGAACCAAACTGAATACACCCCTATAGCTAATTGTAGTGGCAAATCTAAGAGTGAGTTGTAAATATACAAGACAGATCATGAGCTATTTGAGTTTGATTCTGTCAAAACTTAGTTAATATTCGAATTGAATGGACTCAATTCTAGTTCTTAACGAGTTGAAATGAGCTATTTTATACCCTACTTGAAAAGCTCGTGAGTAATTCGAAAAAATATATATTACATTTTTAATTTTTAAATTATATTATTAATTATATTAACATTTATATGTTGTTGTTTTTTTAAATACAATATAAGATTTTCATGTACTTGAGATTTGAGTTTGTATTCGAACTTAAACCGAACTAGAGTTTAAATTTCAATTGAACTAAGTATGAAAATATTTCGGGTTTTTTCACCATTAATTTGTTTGAAGTAAATGAACCATCACAATTTAGTGAGGGTGGGATGATCTCTTGGCTAGGGATGTCAAACAACTCATACTCTATAATTTTGATTTGAGTGGATTTAATAATATTAAATTTCTGTTAATAAAATTTAAATTCGAATAGATTTAGACTAAAAGAGAACACACTTTAGTATGATATATATATGGTTAAGATCTACTTATACAATATAAAACTCTTTAGTTATACATAGATTTAGGATCGTTGGATGAGTAAAAATAGATGACTGATATTGACTCTTTGTTTCTTTTTCCGGTAAATATTTTCTCATTACCTACCGTTAATCTCAGTCACCTATTTTCGCTCCTCCAACGTACTAAATATGTGTAAAACTAAAAGAGTTTTACATTGTGTAACAATATCATATATGAGATATGATTTTGTTACACAATATAAAACTCTTTTAGTTTTATACTGATTTAGAACCGTTTGATTGGATAAACGAAAATAGGTGGTTGAGATTAACCATAGGAAATGAGAAGATATTCATTGTAAAAAAAATAATAAGTTAATTTCAACCTTTGATTTCTTATCGTCTAACTATCATAAAAAGGTTATATATATATATATATATATATAAGTTCAGAGACTTGCAAGTTATCAAAGCTTGAAAGAAGTGGTTAGCTCCCATGCTTCAAGTTCAAAACCCGTTATATGGCAATATTTATTCAAGTCAACCAAATCTTCAAGCTTGGCTACCATGAAGTGTTGAACAATTTTTTTAATATAAATAATTATAATTAAAAATATAAGGGGGCAGTCAATATTATTTTCTGATTACATTCAAACATAAAATCAATACTTATTAATAAAACTAGAAAAAGAAAAAAAATATCATCAATTCTCTTATTGACATAGTCTGCCAATACTCTACTTGTCGTACATTGTGTACATAATAAACCAAAATTGTTTAAAACTAAATTAAGCATAATGTACATATCTACACAAACCTCGTGGCTTTCAAGTTGAAAATAAATATTAAACCCTTAAACCGGTGGCCGGCTCGGGTCGGGCACGGCTCCGATCGGAAACGTTGAGGTACCTTCGCCTGCCACCTTCGGGGATTTTACGGAGGATGCCCGACCGAAAAACGGTGGTTTGTTACTAAACACCCACCGGTCCGACTTAGCTCCACGGTCCAGCTTCCCTCGACGCGAACTCCTTTCCCTTGGCAACACCAAGCTTGTTGCCCGGTTCAACTTTCGGTTCATCAATTGCTTTCGGACATCGGCCGGTAATCGTAGAGTGAACCGCTCCGTGTTCTCTCCCGGTTGGACCAAAGAGTGAGATCGTAAGAAGAAAAGTTTACGTGGACGGCCAGATCTTGAGCCACGTGTACTGTTTCGATTTAGAGTTGCGTTCGAATTATTTAATTCAGCTTCCGAGTTAACTTGACCCTCTAACTCACTATTAACCTCGTTATTATTTATCGGCCTTTCCTCCTCCGGTTCCATATTACCGCGTTCGTTCTGAGCCTCGAGGTCTGTCTCGGCGACGGTGTTACTCTGCGCTGTGAGTTGACTCACGGGATCACCGGGTCGAGGGACGAGATTAGCTCTACAGACGGGGCAAGTAGTGTGAGAAGCCAACCAAGCGTCGATGCATTCAGGGTGAAAAACGTGGTCGCATTTGGGTATCAAACGCAGCGTTTCGTCGTCTTCGAATTCATTCAAACAAACAGCACACTCTAAAGCTCCTGTACCGATCTTATGATCCTTAACCTCGGAGTAAACCATGATCGGGAAAGTCTCGATCACCGACGCTTCGAGTCCGCGCCCACGCATCGAACGCCCTGGTCCGCCGTTGACTGGAAGGACGCCGCGACTGGTGGCGTCGGAACATTTCCGGATGTAAATCACGAAAAGGCCGACAAAGAAGAAGGCCGCGACGAGAACGATGATGACTATGGCCAGGGAAGGGTTTACACTGCCATAAGAGTAACTGTCGTCGTTTTGGTTCAAGTCCTGGGCGGCGCAAGGCGGCGGAGAGAGGAGATGCAGGAAGAAGAGTGAGAAGGAAAGAGAAAAGATTCCATGGCGGACGGTGTACGGCATGGTGAGAAAAGGAGCATCTGTGAGAGGATAGGAGGAGGAAGGTGTTGGGTTTTAAATATGAAGAAGGAAAGGTTGGGGAAATCACAGAATCTGCATCATTTGCATTTTAGTCTTTGCATTTCATTTTCATTCTTTATTTTTAATTTTTATTCATTAATTTTTTTAATCAAGTTTGACTGTGTGTTTTGTGTGACATTTTAATCATATTTATATAATGAAACGGATAATTATTTTGATAGGCTGATTTTCTATTTCCTTTATTAATTATTTTAATTACTTATTATATTAATTAAAGATATATAAAGATCTATTAAAATAAGAAAGTTTATTCTATTTATAATACTATACTTTATATTTTTTATTTAAAATATTTAACATTTTATTTTATCAAAAATCAATTGATAATTAATAATATATATTTATAATAAGTACAACACCAATCTTAATGTTTATTAAAATGGACATTTTAATCTTTATTCATTTTTTTAGCATTTTGACTCATAACGTTTTAGTTTGAGTTAAAAAAATTTATATAAATGGAAACAATTAGTTAACACACGATTAACACTTTAAAATATGAAGTTTTTACCGTAAAATAAACGTTAAGGGTCAAAATGTTCCAAAAAAATAAGAGTCAAAATGATTATTCTGTCAAATATTAAAGGTATTTTTGTCATAAAATAAAACTTTGAGGCCCAAAATACTCCAAAAAAATAGAGGTCATAATGACTATTTTATTATTATTGGAATTATTTTTTTAAAATTAACCACTTGTATCTTATCTATTGACCGACTATTCAGATCATGTTTTGCAAAGACTCGTCATCAGAGTCACCTTCCCTATCCAATTTATTCTATTAGCAAATACCCATATTTAAATTTTTGTCATTGTTTAAAAAATATAATGTTTGGCTCTACTAAATCTAACTGATTGTTAATATTATTTGAATTATTTAGTCATGATAATCTAATATTTATCATTGGTTTACTTTTTAGCTTTAATCAATTACAGAAACTCTACTACTTGTGTCAATAATTGCAAAAAACATATATATAAAATAAAAATTCAGCTTTAAATATTGATAATTATTAGATATGTGACATTCTAGAAGAATGAAATTCCAAAATTAATGGTGCGTCGAATATAATTAATTAGGGGTCTGTGGCAGCTATGCAAGGCCCATTACATTCACAGGTCCCACTTGTAGAAATTGAAGCTATCATCCATGGGTTCGATTATCTTCTATCTATTACTTATTTTTAATATAATTATAATTTGTATAATTATAAATAGAATGATAGAAGATTTATATAAATTAAATAAATTTATGTTGAATTTTTAAATAATAATTTATATTTTTAAATATTTTTTCGACTGCTATTAAAAAAATTTCACTAGGAGACTTCCCTACTAAAATTACGTGTGCGACGCGAGTCGGTCCAGATTAATCTGGACGAAACCCTGAACTAAGAGGACAACCAAAAAAGATTTTATAATAAAATCTATCTATCTATCTATCTATCTAGGGTAAATATAAGTTAATATTTGTTCAAAGACTCTCAATCCTTTGATAATAAACTCGAAACCTCAACAATAACAACAGATTCTTTAACCACTAAAGTCGCTTAATTCGTATTATTATCTAAATATATATTAACAAATAGTTGTTGAGTGCACATTAAAAATATTCTAAACGTGCTTAATGGTAGGTATTCGAGTTTGTGATATTTGGATCTGATTAATTAATTTTCGGAAATTGAAATTAAAGTAATCCCCCAAAGGCTGCTGCTGAGTGCTGAAATTATCCAAAAGAAAAGAGCAGCCAAATTTAGACTTTGATGAGGTGGCATACTAATTAATTAAGCTAAGCAGTTAGGCAATGCATTTACTCTTCAAGATTCATTTAAGATCGAAGTTATGTTATTGTTTACTATTGTTAACAAAAAAATTAAAAAAAAAATTACTTCCGTAATTTTTTAATATTAATTTGTGTACATAAAGGTTAAAAATTTAACGGTGATATCAACGGTTTAATATGACATCTTGAACCCTAAACTTTATAAGTCGAATTTAATATGCTACAAAGACAATCATTTCTCGACTAGACAACAAATAAGCTAAGAAGATAAATCTATCATGACCCAAAGCGCCCAAAACTTAGTATATACAACTAGATTTTATTTCCCTTCAAAAGGAGAAACACTCGATTCTTCTAGCCAGATCTCTTAGAATACATCCTTCTACTCATATAAGGGGTGAATCGCGACCGATCTACTAACACGCCACCGTCTTCCACTAACACGATCATTTTAAACTACCACCTCACACTTTCAACATTACCAAAATACAAATGGTCATTTAACTAATGATGAACATACTAAAGAAAACATTCAATTTAAACGATATTGATAGTTTGAGGATTCAATTTGAATATTTTATAATTTAGGGATCAAATTAAAATCTAAATATAATTAGCTCATAGTTTTATAATAAAAAAAGTTCAATATTATATCAACAAGATGATATATCTACTTGTTGATTGTAAACTGAGCCTAATGAAAAGAAAGGTCATTCAATTATATGGATAAGGTTGGTGAAGTCAAATTGTCTAGAAGGTGAATTTATATGACCAATTGATGATAGTTTAGTGTTATTTCTCAATTCGTGGCAGCCATCGAATACTATATTTACTTTGGTCCAAGTCTTATTGTATGTATATTTTATGATTTACATTTAGAGTTTGTGATTTTAACTTTCAATAATTTTAGGATAAATGACATATTTAGTTATTTATCTATTATTGCAGTTCCATTTTAGCCACATAACTATTATGTTTTAAAATCGTACTTGATGTTTTGTTTTTGTTTTGTTTTGGTCAACCGTCTTTAAAAAATTAACGGTGATGTTGGTGTGTCATCATAAGATAATGACCGCCGTTATTGAAAAAAATAGTACAACAACATTTATGTTTATTTTTTAACAGTGGTTGAATAAAGCGTAACCTTAGGTATGATTTTGAAATAAAAAAGTAGTTGGGTGACCAAATCGGAACTATAAAAATAGAATGATGACTAACTACATAGTTTACCCATAATTTTATCAAGTACAACTTATGTTTTTAAAATTACTACTGCACCTGTCACCAGTTAATTATTTTCAATATTCTTTGTTGCTTGAAATGCATCTTTGAGTTGGTCTCCCCTTGGTTTATGAATAAGGCTGCGAAAAATTGCTGGATTTCTGCCATTTTTTAATATAGTAATTTGTAAGTCTTTGAAATATGATTTGAAAATGGTGACCAAGTCAGTCAACCAGCAATTTAAAAAGGAATAATAATATGAAGGATAACTACTCATTTAATATATAAAATATTAGTTTTAGTCTATTTTAGTACTTAAACTTTTATTTTTTTTAAAATCATACCAAACGCTTAGTTTTTGTTTCTTTTTAGTACTCCGCCGTTAAAAATTTAATAGATGAGCTTGTCGACCGCTGCATCTACAGTCGTCGGTTGTCGCATCCTTTGGTCGATGAAACCCAAACTTTCAAGCCTGCACATTTTTGACCCCCTAAATGTGATTTTGACCCCCGTTTCACCGGTAAATGCCTCAATCTCCCCAAATCGAAGATGAACTCTTTGATTTCTTCATCTTCCGATCTCCATGGTCCACTTTCAGATGGGCTTGAAATTAAACTATGTTTGTCAACTTGTCATTCTCTTGTGGTCCACCATTCAAATTGGTTGTCCGTCCACCGGAGCTATGCCACATCAGCCCGTCCATTCAGTTTTTTACGGCGGTATACTAAAATGAAACAAAAATTAAGCGTTAGGTATGATTTTGGGAAAAAAAATAAAAGTTTAGATACTAAAACAGATCAAAACTAATAGTTTAGGTGCTAACTGCATAGTTTACCCTTATATAAAATGTGTAGATTTACACTTTAGAATATATAGTAAAATGAATTATTTTATACTTAATTTTTTATATTCAACCTATCACGATGCTTCAAAGGTAAAAGAGAAAGTTATTCTTTCTAGATATCTTGGACTCGAGCTCATGCATATGTATATATTATTAATACATTAATTTTTTTAATAAATACTATCTTTTAATCACTCCACACTATTTTTTAAAAAAATTATCTTCGTTTTAAAACATGTCATGTGTTAAATAATGTGTAAATTTGAATCTAATTACTTTGAATTAAATTTTTGACCAAATATTTTTAGATGCATGGTAATGATTGTTTATCAAAGTCTTTTATTTAGTGTATAACAAAATTATTTACTTGATTTAAATTATATTTTATTTTAAATTTTCAGAAATAATATTATTATAAAGAAAAACTTCAAACTTCAAATATGAATAATATATATATATAATTATTTATAGAATATTCTTGATTGTTCATTATTAAAATTTGGTCAAGGATTGAGATACATATTAGTCCGAAAAAATTGGCTTAAATTCAGTTGATTTGAGAGATTTTATAATTTAATGAACCCAAAATTTTCTAGAGGTTAAATGAAAAAAAAGTTTTTACAATTAATTGTAAAATAAATGATATTAACAATAAAATAGTATTTACTATTATGATTTAGGTATAATGATAAAACTTAGTTTTATTTTTTTAGCTGAACTTTCAGTTTTAAGGTTTCACATTGACTAATCTGGACCGACCCGAGTCGCACACTTGGCTCTGGTTGGTGAGTCTCTCAACAAGGATTTTTTGCATACACAAGGACTTGAACACGAGAACTTACTTAAACGATATCAAGCTGTTTACCACTTAAACCAACCCTATTGGTATAAAATTTAGTTTTATACTTTCACATTTGTTTTGTTAATTTGACTATTATATTTAATTAAAATTAACATTCACCATTTTAAAAAAGTAAAGTCATGAAAAATATTGATTATATATATATTTTTAATGATTTTGACATGGTAATTCACATGACGGTTTATATATACTTTATCATCTTTTGATATTATTTATTTTACATGTCTTAAATATATAAATAATTAAAAAAAATATTAAAAAAACTCATAATTTAAAATACGTA